TAGCGCGTGCACACATGTGCGTTCCAACTGGACACGTGTTTGTGTTCCAGGAGGACACATGTTTGTTATCAGATGAACGCGTGTGTGTGTGTGTGTGTGTCTGCTCCGCGTGCGCATGTATGTGTGTTCATTTGCACACATAAGTGTGTTCCACATGTACACATTTGTGAGTTCATGTGTCCACACATGTTTGTTCCAATTGGACACGTGTTTGTGTTTCAGGTGAATACATGTTTGTTTTCAGATGAACGCACGTGTGTGTGTGTGTTCCGGGTGCGCATATATATATAAAGATGTGTGTGTTCACGTGTACACATATGTGTGTTCACGTGTACACACGTATGTGTTCCAATTAGACACACGGTTGTGTTCCAGGAGACCACGTGTTTGTTATCAGATGAACACTCGTGTGTGTCTGTGTTTTCCGCGCGCGCATAAATGTGTGTGTTCACATGTGCAGTACACATGTGTGTGTTCCACGTGTGCACATGTGTGTGTGCTCACGTGTGCGCATTTGCGCCTCCCACGTGTACACATATGTGTGTTCACGTGTACACACATGCGTGTTCCAATTGGACACGTGTTTGTGTTCCAGGAGAACACATGGTTGTTATCAGATGAGCACACGGGTGTGTGTTCCGGGTGCACATATATGTGAGTGTTCACGTGTGCACATATGCGTGTTCACGTGTGCACATATGTGTGTTCCACGTGTACGCACATGTGTGTTCCAATTGGACACGTGTTTGTGTTCCAGGTGAACAGATGTGTGTTTCACGTGAACACATTAGTATGTGCTAGATGAACTTTTTTTGCATCTGACGACATATTTGCTCTCCAGGTGTGCACATGTATGCGCTCCAGAAAACGCATGATTGTTTTCGAGGTGCGCGCATGTGTGTGCGATTTAGGTGAGCATTTATGTTTGCTCACGTGTGCGCATATGTGTGTTCCACATGTACACACATGTGTGCGTTAATCGCACACGCGGTGTTCCAGGTGGACACATGTTTGTGTTCCAGTGGTATACATATGTGTGTCCCACGCGTACACACATGTGTGCTTTAATTGCGCGTCTTTGTGTTCCAGGTGAACGCATGTGTGTTCCACGTGTACACACATGTGTGTCTGAATTGGACACGCGGTTCATTGTGTTCCAAGTGAACACACATGTGTGTTCCACGTGAACGCATTAGCGTGTCGTAAGTGAACACATATGTGCGTTCCACGTTTGCACATGTGTGTGTGTGCTTTCCAAGAAGCACATGTTTGTTATCCAGCTCAACACATTTATGCGTGTGCCGCAGGTGAATGTATACTGTTTCAGTCGTATACGTATGTGTGTTCCACGTGTACACACATGTGTGTCAGAATTGGACATGTGTGTTTGAACTGCCCATGTGACTGCGTGCTTGCGCGGCCACACTTGCGTTCACGCGCGCGCGCTCGCCCGCCATCGCGCGCGCTTGCCCAACCTCAGTTCTGGCGCGGTGCTGAAGCGCGAAGCACGCCAGCAACACACGTGCAGCAACGCAACGCGCGCCAAGTTCACGACTGCATCATTTTGATTCATCCGTGTTGAAGCGCAGAAAGCCACAAGCTGTTGGCATGTTTGTGCTCGCCCGTCAGCCCTCAACTGTTTGGGGTCTCTGCTGGTGTAATTTTTAACGGGGAAAAAGAAAGCCTACGGTCTCCGCGTCAACCAAGTTGAGGGCCTGCCAGACGGTTTCGGACAGTGACTCAAGCTTTGACTGGCCAAGGCTCTGACCGTTCCGTTCTCATTGCCTGGCGCGGGCGCGGGAGTGTTTGAAGGCTAACCCATTTTACATGGAAAGAGAAGGCCTGCGGTCTCCGTGTCAACCAAGTTGAGGGCCTGCCAGAGGGTTCGCGACAATGACTCAAGCTTCGACTGGCCAAGGCTCTGACCGTTCCGTGCTCATTGCCTACCACCGCCGCGGGTGTGTTTCAAAACTAACCCATTTTACGGGGAAAGAGAAGGCCTACGGTCTTCGCATCAACCAAGTTGAGGGCCTGCCGGACGGTTCCGGACAGCGACTCAAGCTCCGACGCGCCAAGGCTCTGGCTGTTCCGTTCTCATCGCCTGGCGCAGGCGTGGGTGTTCCAAAACTAGCCCAAAGTCATCGCCTGAACCGGGAGCGCCGGCCCCGAGCAGGCGCACCACAACCATGAGACGCCAGAGACCTCAACACTTCTCGCACAAATTACCTTTTTTTGCGCCCAGGTTCTTGGAGCGGGGCTAGTCATGGCCACAAGGTGTTGGCGGGGGTCTACTTTTCACTAGCTCTTTTTAGCTTGAGGGCTCACTTCACAAAACGCAACACGTGTGTCACACAAAGCCTTGCGCCCTTTGCCGGGGGTTGGCTAAGCCCCCTCCGCCTGGGGCCGCGGCCAGTTCCTCAACCCCGGGGGTTTATTGGTGACCCAGGCGGGGGGCTCTTCCCCGATCCCTGGCCGCGGCTAAGAAAAAATACTTGAAAGTTCTGAAGGATATGGCTATCGCCGCTCCTCTCTCGCCGGCGGCTCAGCGCCAGGCGCATGCTAAGGAGGAGGCATTTCCACCAGTGCATTTTTTGCACGCCGCTTTTTAAAACAAGCAAAATCAAGCACAATCAAGGAACCCCATGCCAATTCAAGCAAATTGCACAACCATGCAAAAATCATGAAAATTATCAAATTCGAGCAACTTCAAGCACAAGCAAAAAAGCAAAATCATGCAAATTCATTAAAATCAAGCACAACCACGCAAGACTCATAATTCAAGCACATTCAAGTGCAAATTCATGCAAATTCAAGCGAATGCAAATTCAAGCACAACCATGCCAGAACCATGCAAATTCAAGCAAATTCAAGCACAACCACGCAAGACTCATGCAAGCTCATGCAAATTCAAGCACATTCGACAACCCGAATCTTGCAGATTCAAGGAAATTCAAGCAAAACCATGCAAGCACAACAAATTCAATGCAAATTCAAGTGTCACCAGTGCGAATTCAAGCGACTTCAAGCACAACCATTCAAAAATTACGCTCCGCCCGCTTCTGCACCAAGCAGCGAGACCCCGGGCCGCCCGCGGCCGCCGCCCCGCCGCGGGCCCCCCCCGCGGCCGGCCCGCGGGCCGGCCCCCCCCCCCGCCAGCCCGCGGACGGGCCCCCCCCTCCCGACGCCCGCGGCGGGGCCCCCCCCAGCCGCCTCGCCCCCCTCGCCGCGGCCGCCCCCCCCGCCTCCGCCCGCCGGCCGGCCCCCCCCGCCGCCGCCCGCGCGGGCCCCCCCCGCCCGCCGCCCGCGGCGGGCCCACCCCGCGCCGCCCACGGCGGCCCCCCCCGCCGCCGCCCGCCGCGGCCCCCCCCGCCGGCCGCCCGCGGCGGTCACCCCCCGCCGCCGCCCTCGGCCCGCCCCGCCCAGCTCGCCGCCCGCGGCGGCCCCACACCCAGTCGCCGCCGCCCGCGCCGGCCCCCCGCGCGCCGCCCGCGGCCCGGCCCCCCGCCCCTGCCGCAGCTGCTCCCGACCCAGCCCCCGCCAGCCGCCCGCGGCGGGGACGCGGGCCCCTGCCGCCGCCCGCGGCCGGCCCCCCCCCGACCGCCCCCCCCGCGGCGGAGCCCCCCCCGCCCGGGCGGCCCCCCCCACCCCACAGCCGGCGGCGGGCCCCCCCCCGCCGCCTCCCCGCAGGCGGGCCCCCCCCGCCACCGCCGCAGCGGCCCCCCCCGCCGCCGCCCGCGGGCGCCCGCGGCGGGCCCCCCCGCCGCCCGCCCGCGGCGGGCCCACCGCCGCCGCCCGCGGCCGGGCCCCCCCCCGACGCCGACCGAGCGGCGGCCCCCTCCGCCCCCCGGGCGGCCGCCGCCCGCGGGCGGGGCCCCCACTCCGCCGCCGCCCGCGGCGGGCCGCCGCGCGGCGGCCCCGCGTGGAAGCTGACGTGTCGGCGGGCCGCCCGCCGGCGGCCCCCCCGCCGACGGCCCGCGGCGGGCCCCCCCCGCCGCCGCCCGCGGCGGGCCCCCCCTCGCCGCCCGCCCGCGCGGGCCCCCCCCGCCGCCCCCGCCGGCCGCTCCCCGCCGCGCCCCGCCGCGCCCCGCCGCGGGTCGGCGGCCCCCCCCCGCCGCGGGCCCCGCTTCCTTTTTCTTCTTAGCGACCGGCCGTCGGCGGCGGCGGTTCCCGGCAGCTCAGCGCCCGGGCGGCCGCGGAAACGCTCGATCCCTTTTTGAGAAACATGACTAGTGGTGGTAACGCCGCGCTGGTCCCCGCTGGGGGCCGCCCGCCCTCGGGCGACCTTGCCGCTTCGGTCGCAAGGTTTCTCGAGGCCTTGCGTGGACACATCCTACGCGGGGCGCGGGCGGCGCTCCATGGGCCAGCGCTAAAGACTTTTTTACTCCGCATCTTTCGGCGGCACTAGCGCTTTGGGCTTTGGGCAGGGAAACAAAGGGATGAGCTTTCGGAGAGGTGTTGCGAAAGCTTCCGCAGGTTTTCGTTGCGGGGCGTGTTGCTTTGGTCAACCCTTCTCGGTCGTCGCTCCAGGACCTGCGGCGAGGCGGCGCGGCGGGCCATCCGCGGCTGGAGAAGGGCACCTTTGGCAAGGTCGGCGGCTGGCGGACAGCGCCGACGGCAAGAAGGGCGGCCGCGGCTGTGAAGGGCCGGCTTTCTCACTAGTGCTATTTTTTGAATCTCACACTTTCCGGCAAGAATGAAAAAAGCCCAGACCAACTCGACAGCGGGATTTGGGCCAGAGAGTGCGCCTTTCTGTTGCGCTGGAGGCAGTTGTTTAGAAGAATCCGGAGGCCACCCCCAATTCTTGCCTTTCCAGCGAAAGGTTTGACAAGGTCCTTGCCGTTTCGTTAGGTTTGTGAAGTTCTCAGCAACGGCTTGCTAGGGTTGCTGTTTCCAATAGCTCTGCTCAAGCTCACTGATTCACTCCAGCTAGACTTCTGCGATGGAAAAGACTACGCTCTTTCCCTGACGCCCACGGGAACTTTGTGTGGGTCAATCCCAAGTCTGGCGCCAAGACCGAACAAGACGTGCTCTCGACGCTGCGCGTGGCCAAGACGCGTGAGCCGGACAACTGCGAGGCGCTGCGGCGCTTAGGGACCTGGCTCTCGGAAGAGGGCGCAACGGTTAAGAGCGCCATGGACTACCTTCACAACATCATGACGGACGAGGGCCTGGGTCTGGACTTCGCCAAGCAGTTGCAGACCACCTCGGCGGGAAAGAAGTATGTGGCTGCCTGCCAGCACTTCAACACCAAAGGGGCGGAAGACAAAGATCCTGCGGAGCTCTCCGACCACTTGACCCATTTCCTGGACTACCCGACAGAGGATGGGCAGAAAAAGTGCAAACGGGCTCGGCGGCTAGCGTTGCGCCGCCCGGCTTTATCTGGCGGCCACATCGTTTCTGGAGCAGAGCGCCATGTGCCTGCACCCGGAGCAGTGGGCTCCCAGGGTCGAGGCAAAACTGCGCGGCGGCTTTCAAAAAGAAGCCGTCGGCGAGGCGCTTGACCGCATGGATGGAGGAAGCTGTGGCGGGCGCGGCGGAAGCCCTGTCCTTGGAGCGGAAGCGCAAGCGCGCAACCGCGGATGATTCCTCGGAGAGGCCAGTGAGCTCTGCGGCCTCCGAAGAGTCCTCGTCATCCTCCGACAAGAAGAAGAAGAAGGCCAACAAGGCAAAGAAGGAGAAAAAGACCAAAACCGCAAAAGCGAAGACAAGCCAGAAAAGCAAGAAGGCAAGCAAAAGGGGCAAGGCGCGGGCGAGCAGCTCCAGCGAGCCGAAGAAACACCTTGACGGGAAAGCCAAGAGCAAAGCAAAGCCCAGCTCTGAGAGCGGCGGCCGTGGCGCCCGGGCGGCCTTTGCAGACTCCGAGACCTCGGAGGAGCAGCCGGCGCTGGCTGCCTGGCCCGCGGAGGTTGCCGGGCCGCTTGCCGGGTGGAGCCAAGAGGATGTGCTGCCGCGCAGTTCGCCTGGGCGGCGTACGCGCCGAAGTTGGCAGCAGGGGTCTTCGAGCCGGCAGAATACAAAGAGCATGTGGAGATGGTGCCGGCGGCGGTGCGGGAAGCGCTGGACGTGCAGGTCCGGGCTGATCGCTCCCGCCCGCCGCGCCGCGTCGACGAGCTGACGGCGGCTTACTTCGGCATTTTCGCGGCGGCAGAGCAGTACTGGGCGGCCCACGGCGCTGCGCCGGACGCCGAGACCTGAGAGCTGCCGGAGATCGATGCTGTTTGTGAGCCGCGCCGCCGGGCCGAAGGCTCGGCCTAGGCGGCGCGGTCGATGGGCGCGGCCGCGGCTTTTTTCAATTACGACTTCTCGAGACTTGGGCCACGCGAAAAGAACAGTTAGTGCGCCGGGTGGGAAGGAGCGTTTGAGCACGCTTGCTTGCTTGCTTGCTTGCAAACGGTGGGTTTTCTCAACAATATCACGTGTGCGGCCTGGGCTCAAGCTCTCGCGCCGCGCTGTTCTCCCGTCGATCGTAATGCCTCGCCGGTGCGCCGGTCTTGGAGAGGAGGCCTGCGTCTTCTCGGCCGTGGCCCCGGGGCGGCCCGCGCAGCCGGCACCGCAGCACGAGCTTTGCAGCTTCTGCGACCTTCCCCGGCTGGGGCAGCTTGCAGCTGCGCGGCACAACTCGGTCAGGAAGAGTCTTCAGGCGGGCACATTTGCAACAAGGGAATTTTTATGGCGACGCCCGCAAAATTGATGGCTTGACCTTTGATGCAACGATGATGGACATGTTTGGACACTTGTTGCTCTTAGCAAAGCTTGAACAAATTTGGCTCCCTGGCCAGGCCTTTGCGCGCGCGCCGGACGTGCTTGAGAAGGCCGCAATGCGACTAGCGGAGGTTGCGCCAGCCTGGCAGAGCTTGGTGGAGGAGGCCCAAGCCACGGCCGCACTGCCGGCACCAGCCGTGGAGGAGGCCAAAGCAACGCCTGCGCCAGTCGCGCCGGCCAAACCGGGCCCGGAAGTTTCAACTGCAGATATGGCACTGGCACCTGGGGGAAAGAGCAAACGCGAGGGGCTGCCAGCTGAGGCTCTGGGTGGCGACAAGAGGCCGCGAGTTCAGGCAGAACCCATCCCTACAACTTCAGGCTCTGCATGGACTCGCCTCCCTGGTCTCCGGAGCTGGCGGCGCTGCTTGTCGCGTGGGGCCGCTGCAAGATGCGTGCTGCTGCGCGCGCCTGGGCGGCCTACGCGCCGAGGCTTGCGTCGGGGGTCAAGGAGCAAATCGGATTCAAGCCAGCAGAATACAAGAAGCACGTGGAGATGGTGCCGGCGGAGGTGCGGGAAGCGCTGGATGTGCGGGTCTGCGCTGAGCGCTCCCGCCCGCCGCGCCGAGTCGACGAGCTGACAGCGGCGTACTTCGGCATTTTCGCAGCGGCGGAGCAGTACTGGGCGGCCCACGGCGCTGCGCCGGACGAGACCTGAGAGCTGCTGGAGATTGAACCAATCAAGTCTGCGTGTTTTTTTTAAGAGAGCCGAAAAAAATTGCCGGGCGTCGGGGTGTGTCGCGTCGCTTGCGCCAAGGAAGGGTGACGTGTTGCGACCGCAGCTCGGGTTCTGCGGCCTCGCTCCCCTTGATCCGTCTGCCGGCGCCATGGAGACTCGCCTGGGCTGGCTGCCGCTTCCACTTTGCGCTCTTCAAGAGATTGGCGCGGGCTTGGGCGTGGCGGGGCAAGGACGCGCCCCAAACGTTAGCGGGGTCTGGGCCCAAGCAGCCGCCGCGCAGGCGGCCCAGCTGGAGAACGCAATGGCAGGAGCGGCAACAACGCTGGTGCAGTGGCCCGGCCTTGCAGAACCAGCTGGCCTTGCGGGCTGGCGGCGCCGGCAGATGTGGACTTTCTAGCCAAGGTGGAGGCTGACTGGAACATTGCACCAGGGCACCTTGCGCCAAACAACCTTCTCGCCGATTATTTGGATGAGAATTGGGGCACCATAAGTTGGCGGGCGGCCTTGGCACGCAACAGCAGCCTGGCCGAGCTTGGCATGCTGGGAGATGTGCTGCGGGACGCTTCTCTGGTCCTGCCTCGCTTGCACGGAGAGCACATGGGTGCTGAGGTAGCTGGCGTAGATGCCCAGTTTGGACTAGTTGTGCATTTTTTCTGGCAGACGCACGAAGCTGCCTTCTTTGTGCCGGAAATCTTTTCTGACCCCATCGGGCTTGGGGCGATGTAACTCGAAGCAAGGCTACTCTGAAAAAACGAGGTTTGTCAAGCCACGCCGCAAGTGGGTTGAGCTGCAACGCAGAATGGGTTGGTCTCTTCTGCTGCAACGCTGTACATCTTTCTAGCATGTGTCCAAGATGGTGCGATTTGTTTTTTCACTTGCCCTGCGCAGCTTGTTGTCGGCTTTTGCAAGTAGCGACCCGCCCTACGCAATGCCTCGCGTGTGCCGGAACCCGGACTGCTGCTGGGCACCTAGCGGCAGCCGGTCACAGGTGCCGGCGGGCACGGAGCTCTGCAGTTTGCGACTATGAGCGGATGGAGACGGAGTGCTTAGCGGCCAGCGGCCGCCGCTCTATTCTGCAGCGCTTGAAGGCGATGGCGGACGACAACCTTCGGGGCATCGCTTTGGAGCTGACCCCTGCAGAGTTCCGCGGTCATTTCCAACGCGGCCTGGCCTCCGCGCAGCGGTTCTGCCTCGGCTTCGACGGGGAGGCTTGTGTCTTCGCCTTGACAAAACAGGGGGGGCCGGGCTCGGGCCGAAAGACGCGGAGCTGCGGCTTGCTTCTTCTGCGACCCGGAGGCTGTGGCGGCCAAGGTGGACGCGCCGGGCGGACGGCGCGAGGTGGCGGGGCTCTTGCAGCAGCTCAGCCCGGCGGCCAAGGCCAAAGCTCTGGCTGAACGCATCCCCGAAGACGCGCGGAGGGAAATCCTGGAGGCTCTTCACCACGGCGCCGCTGCGCGGCGGCCGCGGTCACAGGCCTCCCCAAGCGAGCTTCAGGAGCGCTGGGCACCGGGCTTGGCCCAGAGGCAGAGCGCCAAGGCGCCGGCCACCGCAGCGCAGAAGAAGGCTTACCGCGAGCAAGTCTTGGCCGACCGAGCACGCGGTCGAAAGCATGCCGGGCGCATCCCAGAGCGCGCAGCGCGCGGCGCGGAAGTCTCCAACTCCCCGCCAGTCCCGCCTGCCAAGCGCTCGGCCAAAGCTGCTGGGTTGGAGCGCTGGGCCCTGCGCAACGCCTGGGCGCAGTGCCGCGCTTGCGGTCAGATGCTGCCTCGCGACCTGACGCAGAAGGCATTGGCCCGGGCCCAGAAAGTCACGGCCCCCTCATCGCAGTGCCCGCGGTGCCGCAGCGCGCGAGCGCCAAGCGCGCTCAGCTTCAAGGATGTGCCCGCGGCGGCGCGCGCGCTGAGCCCCTTAGAGATCGATGTGGGCTTCGAGCAGCGGGCCAAACTTGGAATGGGCTACCGCGTCCACACACCCGCAGCCCGAATCTAGAGATCTGGCCATTTGTCCGCTTCTGGTTGATAATGCGGCCACTGCCCTGTCCTCGCCCTTGATAATCTGGGCTGCCCGTGTCGCGACATAGGCTTCGGGCCGCATATGCCGCGGCGGCGTCCAAGATCCCCCCGCTTTGCATCGCTCGGAAACTTGTTTCGGGAAGCCCGTCCGGCCACTCCCCAGCGCTAAAACGACGGAAGCGAGCGCGAGGGACGCTGTCGCAGATGCTTTGGCCGTCGCCCGGAAA